TGTCTGGGGCGGGCACTGGAAACCCCATCTGGGGCGGGCACTGGAAACCCCATCTGGGGCGGGCACTGGAAACCCTGTCTGGGGTGGGCACTGGAAACCCCATCTGAGGCAGGCACTGGAAACCCCATCTGGTGCTGGCAGGCACCAGCGAGAGCTTGCTCCAGCTGCTCAGCATGCCCTAGCCTGCACCCTGCCTTCAAAGCCTGTGGCAGCTCCAGCTGTGCTCCCAGAAACAGCAGATCCTTCTGACCGTGGTGCCTCTGTGCTTCCAGTTCCCTGTGGAACTCCGGGTGCTGACACCTCCTCCTCCTTGTCTGGGGGTGCTGTTAAAGTCAGCTATTCACATCTGCAAGGCACTGGGGTGTCAGTGCCGAGTGCTCTGGGAAGGGCTGGAGGGAGGGTGCTGGTGGAGCCTGGCGCAGCAGCTCTGGCCGAGCAGATCCTTCTGACCGTGGTGCCTCTGTGCTTCCAGTTCCCTGTGGAACTCCGGGTGCTGACACCTCCTCCTCCTTGTCTGGGGGTGCTGTTAAAGTCAGCTATTCACATCTGCAAGGCACTGGGGTGTCAGTGCCGAGTGCTCTGGGAAGGGCTGGAGGGAGGGTGCTGGTGGAGCCTGGCGCAGCAGCTCTGGCCGTGGCTGTGGCGACCCCTCCACCTCAGCTGGCCCAGGGAGGGAGTTGTGGGCACCTAACTGCAGCTTGTACCCAAACTGCATCTGCCCAGGCAGGGGTGGGAGCTGTCGCAGGGGCCTTTCACAGCTCCAGGGTGCTCGTGCTGTGCTGAACCTCTCCCTGTTTTCCTCACCTCGCAGGGCACGGCTGGTCCCAGCCTTTCTCGGGGTGTGCAGCAGCCGGGATTCATCCCCTCCCCTCCCTCCTCCCCGGGACCTGCACGCTGCCTCCCCACATCCTTCCTGCTGCTGCAGCAATTCCGTCTCTCCTGCCTGAGCCCCGGGTTCTGCAGCAGAGCAGCAATGCTCAGGCTTCAGCCAGCAGCGAGCGGGCAAGGCTCTGCAGAGGGGATTACTGAAAGCGGCGGAGGCGGAGGGGGGATCACCTTTAATTCTGCTGAGCAAAGGGCCACAGCTGACCCGGCTGCTTTGACCACTTGATCTGCAGAACTCTCTGTGTTCCCGGTGTGCAGCCAGGCGTCCTCTGCTGCTCCATCACCCGGGGAAGGGTTTGTCGAGCTGTGCTGGGAGCCCCTGCAGCAGCAGTTCAGAGGAGAGGCACTCCTTGAAAACCTTGGAGGGCAGCGAGGCCGTTAATACCTCGCTGTTGTTCAAGGTGCACATTCCAATTAATAGCAAATTAATTTGCAGCTTTGTTTAGTGATGTGATACATGGAGAGAGGCTGTCACAACTGGTTTCTTCTTAATGGGCTATTGATGTTTTTGGTTGCTAAATTAAGCAGCGGTTCCTTAAACCAGCACCTTTCCAGAGAGCAAAACCGCTGAGCTGCTGCTGGGATCGCTGACGTGGATCCAGGGCGAGTTGTCGGGTTCCTGAGCAAGCACGACGGGTATCTGCTTCACCCCGGGTCACCCCAGCCCTTGCTGGGGGGCTGCAAGCCCTGCAGCTTCCCGAGCTGCCCCTGGGGAGGCTGCCTGGGCTGGCTGGGGCTCTTTGCCCGTGGCAGAGCACATGGGGATGTGTTTGCACAGGGACCTGCAGCTCGTTCTTCACCATCTGCATCTCGGAGAGCAACTGGGGCTTGGCCAGGAAGGTGCTTCCTAACCCTGCATTTCCTGAGGCACCATCAGCGTTTTGTTCTTTCCTCACTAAACAAGGCCCTTGTTGCTGTCCTGATGATCTATAGAGAGGGAAGGAGTGAAAACCCTTTTCTGAGGGTGCCAGCGGTGCCATGTGTGCCACCAGCAGCTGTGAGCCACCATTGGATGCAGCTCAGCACATGAGGAGGAGGGAGCTGGGATGCACTCCGAGCTTCCACACTGAAATAAGGGGCAGAAGAATCACCCCTGGGTTTTGCAGCACTGCTGGCCCACCGAGTGTGGCCGTGCTGATGCTCCCACATCAACCTGCCCCTCTCTGCCCCTGTGTCGTGGGGGGAGAGGGGTTTGGGGCTGTTGTCAGAGTTGTCTCTCCTGGGCTGCCTCTTCCCCTGGGCCTCAGCGGTGGTAAATAGACAGCAAGTGGACACCTTGCAGGCAGAGGAGGACCCAGACCATCCTTGCAGGGCCCTGGTGACAGTCACCAGCACCCACTGCTCTTGCAGGTCATGCTTTGACACCAAGACCCCACCAGGGATAGGGCTGGATGTGCCAAGATGATAGAATGTTTTTCCAGACCTCTTCCCTTAATCCAGCTCCAGCAACTTGATGAACTGAGCTGTGATGAATTGAAAGCTGTTTCGTATTTCTTCCTGATTCTGGAAGTTTCAGACTTCTAGACTGTCGTTTCCTACATAGTTGAGGAGTTTTCAGCTTTGTCAGTTGTTCTGCTTAAAATACCAGTTGAAATACATTTCTCAGCCTTACTAAATATGCAGCCCTGCCCTTTGGAGGCACCTTTTCAGACAGCACAGTGAAGTGTGAAATAGCAAATCTCTCTGCCCCTCCACACTTCCCCGTGGGTCTGCGTGTGGGGGATTTGAGCTATTTGTGGCCATCAGATACAGGCAGACACGTGTGATCCCCACATGCTCTGCCCGTCAAGTCACATTCAAAGTAGGTCCCACATTATGCCCAGGAAGCTGCCAACAGCACCCCGAGGTGCAGAGGGAGGCACCCCAGAGGTGGGGGTTCAGAGTCCCAGGTGACTCCTTCTGCAGGGGGCACAGGGGGCTGCTGCTGCGGGAGGGCGAAGGGACCAAATCCTGTGGCACCAGTCAAAATGTGGGCCAAGGAGAGCAGGTAACGACCCTGTGAAGAAACTGGGCCTGTAAAATACTGCAGTGGGTGGCAGGGATGGTGCCTGTGTCATTGCTCTCACTGGGAGGGATGGTGCCCTCTGTGCCACACAGCCACAGGGCTGGCATTGGGGCAACTGATGGGTGTGCCCTGGGACACGGCTGCCTTGCTACGTAGTCAAGGGCTGTTCATGGTTCTGGGGGTGACAGTGCTCTGGAGGGGGGATGGGGTCCTCTGCTCCATCCCAGAGCTGGGATCCTGCTGCCTGGGTGTGGAGGAGGAAGGCTTGTCTGGGTGTGAATCACGCCTCAGGCTGAGACCACGTTCCTCATCTCTCCATGAGCTGCAGCACGAGCCCTTTCCAGCTTTGAGTTCTACCATTTGCTGTTGATTGTAGGGCTGTGTTGTCCCTGGCACATTCCCCACACACACTGAGAAGGGATGAAGTATTTCTCCCACCTTCTTATGTCTAAAAGCTCTCCCCCACACCCAGCTTTCCTACAGTCATGGCACCCGCTGAGTCTTCACCCCAGCACAGTGTTTACCTGGGAACTAGTTCATCCTCTTAAAAAGTGGTTTGCTGTGCCTGAGCCAGGGCTTTTGCCAGCAGAGCTGTGTCGGTCTCAGCCCCCACCTCTGTGCTCTGCCAGCACTTTGGGGAGGACCCTGGCACAGAAACACTCCTTTTTGGACAGAAGGGAGCTGGGAAAGGGGCTGTGGTGGCCTCCATGGCTTCATCTGCCTTCAGCTTCCCAGAGCTGGCTGAGCTGCGTGTTTCTTGCCCTGCGTGGGTTTCCAGGTTTAGGATTAATTTAACCAGGAGCCCAGGATCTCTGAGGCAGGCCAGCCTGGAGGGGGTCCCGGCACCTGCTAAAGGACCCCCCCACTTCTCCTCCTGCGGTTGCTTTTGCCACCCTGGCACCCAGGGCTCCCTCCTGCCAGCAGCACCAAGTGCCGGGGCTGCAGAGGCTCCCGAGCAGCCCCGGTTTGTGCTCCTGGGAAGCTGGAGTGATGCCCATCCCCATCTGCACCCCTGCCCGGGGTGAGGGGTCCCCCTGGGCCCGACCCCCCTGTGGCAGAGCCTGGAGCCTCAGCGGGGTTCCCTTTGCAGACCCTCAGCTGGCTCCCACTCCAGCCTTGCATCAGCTGCTGGCCAGGCTTAAAAAAAGATCTTGTATCAAATGCGTTTCACTCTGGGTTGCCTTCAGACTTCTCCACTGCTTCGTGTGGCATGGGGAGTGCAAAAGGAAGAAAACCTGTTTGTGACTGAGTGGAAGGGCTCAGTTCCCCTCTCTGCAGCATATCCCCCTTTTCTGTCCATCCCCCCTTTCCGCCCCCCAAGAGTCCAAGACAAATGGAGAAGCCACGTGTGGGTCTCCCAGGTTTGCAGCATCCATCCTTTCATGATCTAGGATGTCTCTAGACTGTGGTTGGGGGGGCCAGTGTAGGGAGGAGATCATGGATTTGAGCATCACCAGGCTCCCCTCAGCAGGAGCCCAGAGCAAAACCCATCAGGGGACGGTGCCCCAGTTTTGGAAGCGAGCTGCCAAGCGCAGTAAGAGATCACTGGAGAGGCCTGGGCAGCATCCTGCCAGAGCTTTGCACGGAGGAAACGGGGCCTTGTAGAGCAGCAGGTGCTTCCAGCAGCATCTGGTACTTTTTAACTCTTTTTTAGGGGGAAGATGGCTATTTGTAAGAGGCTTTGCTCCAGCAGAGGCTCTGGTGGAGTGCTCTGTGGGCAGCAGGCACCGTGCTGTGCACGGGGGAGCTGCAGGTTCCGCTCTGGAGAGACACCAGCACAGCTCACAGCTCCTGCAGCCGTCCCGTGTGCTGCTCAACTCAAAGCAGGGCGGCATGGGCAGGGTCATCTCCAGCTGCTCCATAGCCAAGGGCAGGATGGGGGTCACCTGGGAGTGCTGGGAGCAGCTGTGGCTGGGCAGAGCACCCCAAAGTGTACATCTTGCCCAGGGAAGGAGGATGGAGAGATCCCTGAGTCACAGAAGCCAGTGGCAGCCTGAAC